CAAGATGGCAGTGCAATTCAAATTCCACCTGTTTTTTATGCACACGACATCACCATGACCATCATCTTTTTTTCATTGTTTTCACTTTTATTTTAGCATACCCCATTTTTATTTTAACACACGCAATTAACAAAACAATCTTTAAACTTTAAAAATAATAGAAACCCAAACAAAAAGAAGAAGTAGGGGAAAAAACCCAATTCCAAACTAAAAGGGGGGGAAACGACCTTATATATTATACTTGTCAATAGTCACTGGTTTACTAATCAATATACTCCTATAATCAATACAAAATATTGTAAAATATCACAACATCTCTGCCATAGTAACACATCCTGGCTTTTTTTCTTTTTTTTACCGTGCCCGGCAGACACCCCTACATCAAGAATGATGGTTTACTTGTTGGATAGGATTCATCCATATAAAATACGTTTTTACACCTGGACCTTGCCACAGCATTACGGAACAGAGTATGCCTTCTTTCAGGATACGCCCTTCCATATGCCACTCCTTCTTATATGAAGTCCGTGTTTCATGGCTACTGAGCATGCCTTGAGTTCTTTCCAGGGGGCAGCTGGAAAACTCATTTCCATTAGTTTTTCTAAAGATTTCCTTTCTGTTCATGCCTAGCTAAAGGTACCCTCTTAGCTTCCTGGCATGCATTTCCTGTGTATAGATGGTAATTCTAATAGTAATCTTGCAGAATATAATTATTTTAAATTATACCTAGTAAGATGTATAGACTGTATTGTGTGTGAGCTTTGAGTCAGTGTTGATTCCTGGTGACTGCCTAGAAAAGTCCCTGCAGTTTTCTTGGCAAGATTTTTGGAAGCGGTTTGCCCTTGCCTTCTTCTTCCTAGGGCTGAGAGAGGGGGACTGGCCCAAGGTCACCCAGACGGCTTCGTGCCCATGACAGGGTTAGAACACACAATCTCCCGGTTTCTAGTCCGGTGCCTTAACTCAGTGTTGTCCAAACTTGGCCACTTTAAGATGAGTGGACTTCAACTCCCAGAATTCCCCAGCCAGCCATG